ATATTGTGTCACCGGCGTTAATAAATCTACAAAGTACTGCGCGCAAGCTGTTGTGTTTTGATAACTTGGATGATGCTCTAACAGGTTATCACACAAACTTTTTCGCACTCAGGTATTCCTGCCGTTAAGGTAAACGCAGAGTAATCTACGAGTAGCGTAGTAATTTGCCCTAAGATTCCATGCATGCTTCTTCAGGATCTTCGCAGCATTACCGGATGCGTGGTATTTGCAAAACTTCCAGCACTGAAGAAACTCAATTATGTTATATCTTTTCGCAGAAACACAAGATTTTGTGGTACGGTTTCCCTGAGAGTACATTAAGACTTCGCGATGGCGCATGATGACGGAAATTGATATCATCACCTATAACCCGTCGCCAGTGTTTCTATAACTGAACCTTCGTGATTTCGTGGTAAGAATGCTGTACAACCTTGAAGAATGACGGCGGCAACGCTTCTTGTCAGGCCCTGTCAATCTATCCTCTATTTCCACCAGTGATATTCCCGTCACATCCCCGTATTATGTTGGAACCAACTTCCTACTGTTACTGTGAGGTGCACTATGAATCAGGTTACGATTGAGTTCCTGTACCCCTTTTTAGATCTTATCAGCTCTTAACACTTCTTGTCATCCACCAATGTTCCTGTTCCATGCTCCGTATCATGTTCTGGAACGAACTCTTCACGGTATGAATTTCATGACGAACAATTAAACAAACAAACAAGCACACATAATGGTAGCCTCCTATTCCCACACACTTCCCCAAAACACTAACAGCCGGCGCCGGTCAATGCTCGCCTATTGCTGCTCTTCCTTTTATGGGTACGTCATCATGGCACATCACCGTGAAGTCTGGACATAGAGCAACTCATCTTTCAAGAATGAAATTATGGCGTTTCTCAGAATACAAGTACGCTCTTCTTGTCTATGGGAACCCAAACCTGAAATGGATTTCATTAGGAGTAAGACCAGGGGTAAGTTGGCTAGTTTGTCGCAATTGAGAGAAAGCTTGGTAAATGCAGACTGTCGCATGCAACACCAGAATCCCACAGAAATAATCATTACTCAGGAGACCTTTTTTCTAATATTTGCAGTGCCTCCTTCTTTGGTTCAACCACCACCTTTCTTCCAACACTGTTTAGAGTGCACTTCCACAATTTTTCCTTGTTGATTCTTCCCACTTCAGACGCGCATTATCCCTGTTTAACATCCAGTAATAGGTATAAGTGCAAGTGGCTTCAGCGAATCATTCTCACTTTGGCCTTCTTGATACAGTAACGGGAGAGCAATGAGATCACAACAAGACGATCAAACTAAGTAATAATCAGTAATGCGAGCAGTATTAATAAGCATCGCGTTAGAGCGCAGCTGACTTTAACCTTCGTATCTGTTTTTGTCACACGCATGACCATCAGTTCACCGCTGTTACGAATCGGCTAATGTCGCTTGTCACTAATAAACTACTGATGTAAGAGGGCTCGCCGCCATCTTGGCAAACGACCACGGACGTCACTTCCGCCCGCCGCGCAGCCGCGAACAGTCGTGCTCTGCGACTCGCAATTCTCTGAGCTAAAGTTGCTAAACCTTTTCGGCTTCACCTACCGTTACTGATCCCTTCACATCCCTTGTACCACCTGTTGAAAAGTAATGAATCACTGTTGCCGCGACGCAGGAAGTAGTAAATGCAAAAGACCTGGCTCGATATTTCTGTGCTCTTTCAAATTCGACAGAATTTCTAACGAAAATTTTCGTAAGAAAAAATCACTTGAGTACTTCAACACCAAAGCATGCAACATCAGTGCATGTTGCAATTGAGCTACTTAATTTCAGTCTGCCTTCATCAAAGCCAATAGGCAACTAGAACGCAAAAACGCTGTCAAAGGTGCCCTTGACGTAGGAACAGATCAAGGTATGTTAGCTTTTTCTATAGCTCGAAAATTACAGGATGAGTCATTGAGACGTTGAAAAAAATAGGTCGGCTCTTAGGAAGGACCCTTCATATAGTCGGTCAATTTGGCGCCTTCTCGCTTCGCGCCGCCAAACTTTCGTATTATCACACCCCTTCTATCATTTTTGTATAAATCTGCTAGTAATAAGGTCACCGTACTTTGATGGAGTACCATTTGATGAATTGTGAAATTGACGAAGAATATACAGAATGAAGTTATCTAGGAGAAAACTACCATCTTGCTACATCGTTTCCAGTCGAGTACTGCAAAATCCTCGACGTGAGGACTTTGTTTGACCAAATGCGAAGGGGCTCAAAAATAGGGGGAGCGTGAACCGCTATGGTCCGTATCCGATAGTAGCGAATGCGAGGCATAAGTCGTACACTACGAACAAACACTCACAGTATAAACGGCGTTTCTCTTAAAAGATGTCCGTTATCCTACAAGTATGCTTCTGAGTTGTTTTTCCATCTTCACAGTCAGGGCAGGCCATCGCTGTGGAAGTCGCAGCGGTGGAGTCGTGTTTCGAAGCGAAGAAGGGGCGGATGTTGTGAGCAGGGCTCATGCAGAAGTGGGAAGAGAAACGACACTCAGACGTGTACAGTTGTCGAATGATAAAAGGTCCTTGTTGTGAAGAACACCTGAAGAGAGAGGCAAGCCATGCTTCAAAGTGGGGGTTGAGGGGAGACGGTATGACCACGACGATGTCATGAATCAATAAACAAACGCGACCAGTAAACTCTCGGAGACTTCGCGTAACGGTAGGATCACAATGTCTTGCAAGGGTCATATCTAGAAAGCTGCAGCCTTCCACACGCTTCGTGTGGCGAGCGGTATAACGCGCTACAGATAGATGTCAACTGAATGAACTAGATCTCAAACGAACTGAAAAAGGCATTGCGCCAGAGGTGACGGTCTCTCTTGTAGCCCAAAAACTGCTCACGAAAGAAGCACGACCGTGGATTTTTTTCAAGTAATGGGTCTAGAATATATGGAGTGCTTCTTGGTTGTTATTGGTTTCACAAGAGGTCACGCACGTAAAAAGAAACTAATCTTCGTCCAATGCAGAAGTTCCATAGCAACATTTCAACAGTGATCCCGAGGAATATTTCCTTTTTAAGATGTTTAGAATGGTTCAAGTGCATCCTCGAGCATTGCAACATTGCTTTTCCCGCTCCATGGATCCGCGCTCAAGAAAGTTATGGGTTTTTAAAAAAGGGTTACTTCTGGAGTTTCTGGCTTATATCGTAAAACCAGCCGGCTTTGCCGGCTGATGCCTGCACGCCTTCTTCTGAGATAAAGAATGGATTTGCTGAGCGGGCCGGCTAAACCGCTCTTATCTTTCTTCTCACCGGCTTTTCTTTTATACAGATAGTTAACAATCTTTGACCAATATGTTCATAAGAGTAAGCTCAGCTTAATAGTGCACTAACATGATCTTGTTATACGCTAGCCTGGCTGACAGGGCGCACTACTGCGCGCATGCTAGAAGCTCATGGTATCTAAACGATGACTGACAGGATTTGTCCTGAGCACCAACCTTAGCCTAATTCTCATGTTTCGAGGACGACCCATTTCATCATGTTTCTCCATTTTAATGAACATTTGCCAGTGTTTGGTGCCTATCATATTTCTAAAAGCACCATTCGTTGGGGATAGGACAGCATAGCGGTGGGAAGAATTTCGATGATGAAGTCGAAATCATAGTGGCTCTTATCATTCCTCACTGGCCAACAATTCCCTTTCCGGTGAAACTCGAGCGTTTAGCGGTGGAAGCGATTCCGACGCTTTTCCGCTAAACTGAGGGATATTGCTAGGAATAGAAATTTGGCCACGATGATGTGAGCATATACGGAGTCCCAAAAGCGGTTGTCGGGCACTGACAGAATTTAACTCCCACCTTTAATATTCCCGCTGAAGCACACCCTTGAAGGCACTGCTGAGCAGTTCCACAGTGTTGCAACAACTCTGGCTGCTGTGAATTTTCGGGGTATCTTATTTTATCATGTCCTGCCACAAACCAATAATGGTCCCATCCTGCACACTATCTTGCCTCTTGGAACCGACGTCCCGTTGTGCTGGTCGACGTTGTGAGTTAGGTGTCCCTACCCTTCTAAGGCTCCTTATGGTATCTTATCAGCTGTTATCAATTCCTGCCACCCACCAATAATGTTCCCATCCTGCCCCCTATCTTACTACTTGTATCCAACGTCCGGTCATTGCTCTGGCCGGTGTTATGAATTAGGTAACCCACTCTTTCTGAGGCTCCTTATGGTATCTTATCAGCTGTTATCAATTCCTGCCACCCACCAATAATGTTCCCATCCTGCCCTATCTTACTTCCTAGAACCAAGGTCTCATCGTCTCTGTGGCCCGCGCTATGAATTTGGTTATCCTCCCCTTATAAGGCTGCTCGCGGTATCTTATCAGTTCTTATCAGTTCCTGCCACCCACCAATAGTGTTCCTGCACGACCCCCTACATGACTTATCAGTTTGAGCGCTCTATCACTCTTTTGAAGGAAGTTATGAATTTCCGGTCAAACACACATACACACACACACAACACACACACACCAACAGACAAACTTAGCGGATTATATATAGTAGGATAGTGAGGTTGTAAACAATCACACATTGCCTCAAAGTGATACCAAAACATGGATTTTATTCGCGACTCTGCTAGCGGTTGATCCTTCCTCTATTCACCTTATCGCTTTCATTGGCGCTTTTCAATTAACACACTTGTGATGAGTTTTCTCGGCAAAACGCACTCTAATCGCTTCTCCTCGTCAGTAGCTCTCCTCACTAATCCCACCCACCCACATTATACCCTCCCCACTCCCACTTGCCCCACCCACTCATCCGGCCGCTGCACGTGCTCACGTCCACCTGCCACGCGAGCAGCTCGTGCAATGGTTTGGAGTGCACTACATGGTTCTCTTATATAGTGCAGGGTGTTATCACAATCAAAACATTGGATTGATACATCTGCACCAACTGGTTTCGCCGCACCGCCTCACCAGCGGTCCGCTATGCTCTTTAACTTCACGGTGTTTGAACCCGTGAAGCATTTTGCGGACGGACAGACATACATACATACATACCGACAAACCGACACACAGAATTAGTGGTTTATAGAATGTAAGGATAGTGCAGCTCTAGAAAACGTTCGAACGTTCGCGCGCGAATTCTAAATGCGCGCGAACGTTCAAAATTCAAATATCCCATTCAGTATCGTTTCTTGTTGGCTTTATCTATACTTTTTCGTTTTTCTTTGGAGGGGGATAACGAGATCCTCGTTCGGGAGGGCGGTCTACTCAGCCTCGAAATTTTACATAATGCGATGGCGTGACGCTCCCAGTGCTGTCATCCATCATCCAATACTTGTTGCCTTCCATCCATGTCATAGTGTTACTTATCGTTCATGAGTAAAGTTCATGTGAATGTCTCTGAGTTGTCGTGGTTAGACACTCATTTTTGATTCCCGCTTGCTGCGGTATCGCTGCGGTGTCAGTCAGCATGCGAACTACGAATGTGCGCAGCGCCTGTGAGTTTTTTGTCAACCATGGCCCTCCTCCCACAGAGCGCCAACCGTGGTCCTCCCTCTACAGAGAGGTTGTACGGACTTGGCCATTTGAAAGGCTGTGGGCGCAATAATCTGGTTCTCTGCAGAAAACAGGGCAGAGGCACTCTCGTAGTACACCAGTAAGACAAAAATGCCCGGAGTAGCCTCTTATGAAGCACTCTAACCACGAAGTGCACAAGCATACGCCCGAGATAAATAATCGGTAGTCAAGGGTCATTGTGAATAAAAGTCACGGTGACTGCACACGAGATATGAAAACAGATTCTTTTGGTGTAAGGAACTCTTCAAAAATATCAACAGGGGTCCGTAATAAGAACAGGGACATACTAATGATATCACGAGGCGGATGTTAAAGGTTCACGGGAATCTAGTGAGAATCTCAAAAAAGTCAAAGAAGTCTAAAACTAAAAAACGGCAACCGCTTTGAACAAAACCCTGTACTCTGCCGATGAAGTATTTATTTTCGTTACTAATGAGAGCTTGCCTTCCAAAAAAAACTCTGAGGAAGGGAAAAAACGCCATACAGCCGCCTCAGTTTGCGAAAACAGCTGATCACGAGGCGGATGTCAAAGGCTCACGGAAATCTAGTGAGAATTCCAAAAAAGTCAAAGAAGTCTAAAGCTACAAACTTGGACACGTTACACTGTACACTTTGAGAAAGGCTATGACAGGAATCCGGAAAAACCATGAACGGATTATTAAGAAAGATCGAGTTTGATCGCATCTTCTTGATAGAAAGGAACCACTCAATTAGCATTTATAGCGCTCTTCTGATTATTGGCGCAGCGTGGTTGGTCGTAGTTGTAGGATTCAAAAGTTGCGCAAAGCGAGAATCGTGCGTATCGACGCGAAGATTGCTTAAGCCGCGAACTGTAAGCGCTGTCCAACGATGAGGCGTTCCCGTGTCTAATAACTGCCGCAATGCATTGTTCCCGAAGTTTGCTTGAGAGGTTTCTCTCGCGATTCGAAGTTTTTCAGTATTTCTAATTATAAAATTCCAAATCCACAATGTCTCCGGTGACATGTCAAGACATCTGAAAAGAGAAACGTTACATTACTGCTGTTAGCGATAGCTTTATTAATGCGATCTTATAAAATCTACCTAAGATTGCACTGTGGAAATAGCTCTGGTCGATAAGAAGTGCAAAGCACTGGTTGGCGACGTCGAGTACCAGATAACGGACAAGGCCAACCAGGAAATGTGGTCGCGCATCAACAAAGTGTACGGTACTATCACCGTCAATGAGGCTGAGAGTGATTTAAGACTTCTGAAAAATATCACTGTTGAAGGATGGTCAGGTGAGAATTCTACCGAAAGAGTGTGGGTGTAGTTCAATACATACGGATTGCAGCACAGCGCTCAAACTAGCAGTGTATTTCCGTGGTAGTCGAACTGATACACCGCCACTTGCCAACTTTGATTCTCAGTGGACATCGGCTTTGTTTATATGGACAGTTGCTTCATGTTAAACTGCACTCGAGGTTGGCAAGAACCTATATTAGGTGGCTGACGTGCCATACATACCAGGCTCGCCATCGCGTGATGTGAGAATTTCTGCTCAATACGACGCTATCCCATTTGGAAACGGGTTTCGCTACGCCCTCTTCCCCCAGAAACAAGGACTCTTAAACACAAAAAGAGACAAGAAGATGTCAAGTCGAATTGCTTAATTTTGAGTTTTGCGCACAATAAGAAGTTGCGCGCGAACACTCAGAACCCATTCTACGGTCGAACCTATTTTGAAGTACCCTTTCTTCGAATGTCCATGATTTTTTTGATGAAAAGCAGGGTTGTGAAGCACTAGGTATCGTGTTGACTGAATGTGCTTAATCCATCCGAAACAAATCAGCATCCCGGAAATATCGCGGTGGTGTCTTTCAGTGTCACCTACGAGTTTTTATGCTTTGGATAGACATAACCTTGCTCGTATGTGACCTCTTGTAAAACCAGAAGCATGTTAGGATCTGGAAGACTTTTCCTTTCTTAAAAACGTCTCGATTTTTCCCTGTTCCCCTATTCAGGAAATGGACAATTCAGGGCAACCCTTACCTCTGGCGCAGTACCATTTCCGAATCTCTCGAAACCTGAGTATCTCTCTAGAACACATCTTTTCGTCGAAATTATTGGGAGATTATTCACCAGCTGACACTACCGCTCTGTTCAAAAACGTCCGAACCTATACCTTGTTTTGGTGAATTATCAGTTCATGACATTGTCATGGGCGGCTGTCGTACTTCTTGTCACCGTCCATTCCTCTTCTGAGCTTGCAGCTAATCGTATCGCTCCTCCCCCTACTTCTGAATGAGCCTTGCATTTCAACCATCCCCCCTCCCCTTCGCGGTGAAATACAATTCCATATTGGTGGTTCCCACAATGATGGCCACCATACATCACCTTAAACCTATTTCGCTGTCTGTCCGCAACTCGTATGTGTTGAACTACACCAGAATGCTGTCAACCCTCTAACTATTTTGATAGTGATGATAGTTCGATGATTTTAGTTCGAGCACTGAGAATAATTAACAATCGCAAGCTGAAGTATATTGATGCCATATTGGACATGAAGGTGGACGGTCCTAAGCCATCGATCTATTTTCGAAACAATTCGAGGTTTTGCCACACTATCGATATCAGAAAGAAAATTGAAAGGAAAGTACACAGAGGGTTATATTGGGAAGAGAGCTGCTGTGAGTTGGGCATCAATAATACATGGTAATCTCTGCCGTTACTACATTATTCAGTGCACAAATGCAAAGGCGGGACCGTCAGTATAAAATATCTTGAAGAATTCGACAAATTTTGCAACGAGATTGATGGTGATCTTGTCATTGAAGGACAAAAAGGCATGTTTGATATCCCAGAACTCTTGATATTTGTTAATCGCTATGATAAGCAAAAGGTGAAGGATAATCTTGCATTGGATATGGATATCATTACAATGGATATTTGCATGATGATCGAAAGGATGGTGTCTTCGCCTTCGATCAATCCCTTTTTGGGATGCGGCACTCACTCCACTTCCATTCGGAATTAGTGGTTCTTATGGCGATGTGGCTTATACAATGAACTGCGAGTGCCAGCCGATGCATAAGTCAGTGTTCTTATCCTCCAAGACGAATGTGGGACCATGCACCGTCCCGGAGGGTAGAAGGCTCGGATGACCTGAGCGGGAGTCGAGTCTTCATGGTATAATTTTTGCCTTTCTTAGAGGTATGATGAAGGTCTACTGCATATTATATTTTCAGCGCAGTTGGAGAAGATTACACGCTAACCGCAATGCACAAATAAACTTTTTTCCTGAGTACTGCTTTACACAAGAGTGACTCACTGTTTGTATCAGCATTATTGATTGTGTTCAAGTACTTGAGAAACGACAAATCTTTTATAGCCGTATTGTTCTTCACTACAAGACGTCCGTTTATTCGTTCAATTTGGGCTAATTTTTCAATCCCTACTGGTACACCTAAAACATGGATTTTTGTTGACTATTGACTATTCGGCCATGAATTTGGTCCTTTATTGTTTTTACTTTTTTTGCGGACCCAACCCAATTTTGTTCGTCTCTACCAATTAGTAATTTTCGTTTACTGCACTCTTTCCGGTTTCTT